TTTTTGTTAGGAATTTGTATATTTCGAAACAAAGAAGTATATATAACTTCTGAGTCTGTACGTGTGTGTGTGCTTACATTCCTGTAACTTATAGTATGTATATAGCAGAAATCACGATAAAATGTTGAGAGACCTGGGTGGTTCGCAAAAGTAATTGGCAAATGTTGTGCATATCATTCGCTACCTAAAGTCGCGTCAAGGCTAGATGTGGTGCCTATGGTCGCGATGCTAGCGGCCAATCTTCGGCCGCTATCCGCTTGCTTTCAAATTTCACGCGCAAAATCTATCGCAGTAGTTTCTATTGGGCACGTCAGGGGTAAACGGGAAAATCAAGGGGGTGATACAGAAAGGCTTCTGGTATCATTCTAGTGAGAAACGAAGAGGACAAAATGAAATAATAATTTATATAATAGGTTGAAAGGAGTATGATCGAATATACATATGCATAGAAAAGTTATGCTCAGTATTTGCAGGCTAAGGGATAAAAGTATCACTGTCACATGGTTTTCTGTGAAGCCTCTCACAAAATTCGCAATGTTTGAAACTGTTAGATAACAATGAAAATGTACCCTCTGTAAGCGAAGGTCACCTGCAGGCTATTGTGGCCTTAGGCCAACTTGTAAACTGAATGTACTATGTCCTTTGTTCGAAGTTTAATCGACGAGAAACTTAAGTACATGTAGTACGAACTGCTAATTGCGTTCAATGGAACTTCGATAGGAAATAAACTAGTACTTTTATAGGTGTTTCCGGCTTACAATAGAGTAAACAGCGGCGTGGGTGTCGTATGTGAGTCTGATAGCTATATAAGCATGTCATGTCTATTTGAAAGAAATTAAATAAAAACGATGTACTTTCGTATAAGACTTGTATAGCACTGACGCGCGAAATTTGAAGTTCGCTATCAAGTTGGTAGCTGGCGATGAATAATTGTTTCCAGGAGAGTAGCACGCAAGGGAGCAGCTGTTGCGGAATCGAATACAGTGTATCTTCGGCCGACTAAATGTATAGGGTTTTATTATGGGACGAACGATATTTTATTATGCAGTCTGGTCAGATATCCTGTTAAATTTTTCAGATGTCAGGTAGCACGTATCACTGCGGCGTTTACAATTTATGTTATCACATTCCAACCGGACTGTTTCTGATCAACGCTCGACCACATTTCTACTCCCATATCTGCTTATTTCGGAGTCAATAATATACTAGTTACGTCTGTCTCAAGTATTTAGTGCGCCCGCGTGTCCCAGCAGTGCGTATCTAGCCTTTATATTTAGATACAGTATGATCGGATATGATGAGATGTTCCGTAAGCCGCAAAAACTAATGCGCTGTTCGCTTCTTTTTCTGCTCCTTTCCGTCATATTTTCCCTCATTCTCTCTCTCGGTATATTGAACGGTCCGGAGCCATGCACGATTCATACCCGGGACTCTTTAATATTTATTAGCAGTTTCAGCTAGATTTCGCAAAGATGACACTGTCAGCCACCAGAAAAACCGACTTTACGTTCACATTCTTTATACAGATAGCGCAGACTATCCTTTTCAGCTGAATCTTACCCCTTTTACATGGCCTGATGATTACAGAGATTACGGAGATACAAGAAAGAACGTCCGCTTTGTCACCGGCGTCTAGGCGACAGGTCTAGGATGATCTATAGACAATCTGGTTTTCTCAGCTACTCAATATCTGTTCCATGTAAGTGTTCACATTGTTGCTTCATACAAAATCGTTGCTTCTCTTGGCGCTTTCCTGTCACCCGCGACTTCTATTCGACAACAATTATCTTGCATTCGTATACCGAGAGAACAGCCGACTCGGCATCTTAACGCCGGCCTCAATCAGGTTGGACTTTCGCTGGACGTAGTCTTCATATTTTTCGCGGTTAGGCCCCATAAACGTAGTGCAAAAGTTACACTTGTCTGCCATGAACCGAAGAAGCAGGCTGCTCCCGAGATCAAGACTCGTGAACGATCCCGGGGCAACCATCGGCCACGACAGACTTAGCGAACTCCACAGCGAGGGCTGGCGGACGAAGGGCAAATCACTCTGGGCGTCACTGGCTGACCCCAACAGAGTGTACGCCGTCGTGTACGTCTTACGGAACATCGTTTTGATAATGCGGACGTCCTCGCGGGCCGTATGTCGGCTATTCAAAACGAGCAGAAGTGGTCGACACACGTTGATGGGGCGGTCCGTCTGAATGACGAACATCAGTGGATCGATAGCCGCCCCACACAGCGTGCGTTCCTCCATCTGCAGCGTCATATAGGCCGTGGCCCCGCCGAAACCGCGACCCACGATAGTGACTCGGTTCAGGTCCATGATACCGGCGAGCGCCGCGGAGCAGTTGTCCGGCAGCTCGTTTCGACACGCCTTTCGCGCGTTGATCTTCTCGAGACAATTTAGCGTGCGGATCAGCTCAGCCACTCGGCGGTGCAGCTGGCGTAGGCGGATGTTATAGAGCGATGGCGATTTCTCAATCGATCGATAGTTCACCCAGACGGTTCTGCTTTGGCCAAATGTCTATATACAGAAAGCAAAGGGCATAAACGGAGGGTACAGAAACATATTAGGATACAGAAACAACAGAAAAATGCTCGCTAAAGTGACAAAAAGGCGAATAGGTATGGGTAAACGTTAGAAGCTCCTTAGAGTACGGCTGTAAAGGGCTGGTAATAAATATTCATAGGTTAGGTAAGGATAAATCACTGCGTTAGATATGATTTATTACAAGTCGATTTAGAAAAGGGGTTTGATATGAACATTTCTGTTAACTATCTGGTTGTGGACCATGTGTTACACACTTCAAAAAAACACCCGATTAGTACTGTCTTAGTGATTTTGACTCATTAGGAACTCAGGGAATAGTGAGAAAAACCGAATTTAATTGTGGCCTATCAAAAGATGTTTGATGGGTCACCCGTAGGCCAAGCAATTGAGTACGAAAGCAGATTTTATCTGCTCGAACATATCTGATGTTCGTTAGACTTCCAAGCTTCTGTGAAACCTTGTGTGAGATATACGATGGTCCTTTTTCATCTACTTTATTCATTTTTCAGATTCTACAGCACTATACTTGATCATTTCAAAATTTGCTAACTGTTTTCTTAAATTTGCTTTTTATCCTCAGCCAACCTTTGTCCTAAATTTGGCAGATGTGTCAGTTTCATCAGCGGATTCGTTTAGCTGCCCATCCTTTGTGCTGATCTGCTCTCCTTGGACGCTGTCACCGCAATCACTTTCGTCCTCATCATCATCAAGAGTAGATTCGCACATTGGAACCTCTTCTTCGCCGCGAAGCGGCTCATCCGTCTCTTCCCTATCCTCATCCCAAGTCTGATTATTGGGGGATTTTTCACCGTCAACAGTGTCTACCTCTTCTTCGCCGTCCGCATTGCAGCTAGCCGATACTGTCACCCGTTCGACATAGAATGTCCGGCAGGCCGTATTGTCCCTGAAACAAGGCCGACAAAAAAATTAATCGTTAACATAGATAAAAGCATAGTGAACAGAAGTCAGAGTATTTATATTTTGTAACAATAAACCGGTAGACGTATCCACATGAAAAAAAAACTACTAGACTTTAATCGGATTCAATACATTTATCGTTTAGAGTTTATTGAATCGTGTTATTGAAGCAGCGACCCTCTAGACTCAGCATGCATGTGCCTATTATCCCTGAAACATCGTGTTCACCATCTTATAATAACAGAGTGGTTAATTATACATATACATATTCATCTTGTCGATGCCTGAAGGCATATATATGCCAGTCCCATATCCAATCAAAAAATCCACTTCTGATTTCCTGACTGTCTCACAGTTGGGTTTCTCCCTTCCACTATTCACAATTCTACGATGCCAACACTGATGCTCGTACAACGCGTGATAAGGAAAATACACAAGAATAACAGTATCAGGTTCCCGCGGTCGTTACAACTTGTGCGCAGTCTTTATCTCTTTCTGTTCCTTTTTTATTGCATCTCTCAATAAACTATTAGTTGGCCACAGCGATTTCCTGCGAGCTTCTGAATTAGATCAACATCTATTTTATACTCAATCTTTGACCATCTTGCCTACGCGAATACTTTAATTTTAGCTTTCCATATTTTGCTTCATTTGTGCCAAACCTCTATAAAGCGACCAGAAAGCTTTCTCACGCGAGCATCATGTTATCCGGTATATATGTTCCAGTGATTGGCTTAGCCCCGTCTGACCTTCATCGAGTCGTCTTTGTTCTGTCTGCATTTGTTCTTCCCAGTGGTGGATGGTATATTTTTCTGGCTAATCGCCTAGTGCTCACAAGATCTGTTCAACAGAGTGTCCTTAATTCAGTTAGTGTATTTTGCCCTTGTCAGGTGTATCTGTCGTTTGCAAATTGCTCCTGCAATGAATGTCCTTGTTCTAGCCGAAAGCGCACTTTGCTGTTTATCCCAAACGAGGTGACGCTGTTCTGCGGGTTTCGCTTAACGGTGAGTTATCGGATGGCAGGTACTAGTTGTTAGTACATGAATAGCGGGGGGAAGATTGGTAAACGTTGAAAAAAATCGTGAGTAACTGCTTAGAAATCATTCCCAAAAAAATCCCTTTTCCGCAAGTCTTTATTTGAGACATAATTCATTCTACCATATTAAAAAGCAAACTCCTTCAAATATCCTTGGTAAAGGGCTCTTTTGATAAGGGATATCCGTTTTTTCCTTTATCCTGATCCGCTTTAACCAATAACCTGATTAAATGAATGGCACGGAACATCGAGGCTTCTTCCCGTTCCTCACGTCTCACGTTGCAGCAAGTTATACGATTCACTACGGCATCCCGTACAGGATAGGGTTTCGAAGATTTCAGCCAGAGACCTACGGTGCAGCGGCAGAACACATAGCTTACAGCTTGGCAATAAACACTGGGTGAGACACCCTACAGTCCAACTCTCCAGTACCCCGTCTATTTCTCTCAGCCACCTATTCCTTTGTATGCTCTCTATTTATGTCGATGTGTGAGACTGGGTTATCGTTTACCCTTTTTTTTATAGCTACCATGTACCATTGTCCCTTTCACAGATTCCAGTACTTTCACGAAGCCCTGGCAGTCATGGTCAGTAATCAGCGTTGTCAGCCGAACAAAATACCAAAAGGGAGCAGACAGAGGTGTTAAACTGAGCAGCCGTTGTCTCCACACCTTTCACTTGCAGTTGTCCTCTTGGCTGAATGGCACGGAGACGATTAGCTCGTTACAGGGCTTCTCGTAGACGTTTTTTACCTCAGGTGGAGCAGTTAATTTGGCGCTTCCTTCGGATGGCTGCAAATTTTCCCTTAGTCGTTTCTTAACCCACAGCTTCCTATAGCCTGGAGCCTTTCTTCGGTCAAGCAAACATAGTAAGTTGGCGTGTAAGTGGTCGGTTTGTGACTGCTTGGGCGGATCCTTAGTGTAGTGTGCCTTCATCCCTAGCCCATTGTCGGTCCTTATCGGCTGCCGGATCAGATCAACTGGTGCGAGTGACGTCAGGCCCGCTTAGAGGAGAAGATACTTTAGGAGCATGTTCGAATGATTTTTTCCCGAGTTTCAACAGTGTAGTAAGTAAGGAATATCTCATGTGCGACTATTGAGTGATTGCCTCGGATCGCCTATTTTCAAACCTGTTGTATTCATCTTATTACCGACCAATCATATGAGCTGCAAAGAGACCACATTTCAGAAATAACGAATATATAAAACTAAGAATGTACGGCCAGACCCCATATCACAACGTCAGCGCTTTACTCCTCGTCCTTAAGTCCTCGACAAATCGATACTGGTCCCTTTCCTATACCTCTAGCAAAACTGACTGCCTTATTGGTCTTTTTATGGTGTACAAGTGATGCTCGCAACATTCTGATCCGATCGTCATAATTAACTTTGTGTGCGTCACACAATCATACTTCCACCATATCGAATATATAATGATCATAATCACATTTTTTTGTGCTTGTTCTTCCTAAGCACAGTGTACAGCATATTTAACCACAGATGTGAAAAAATAATGACTAATTATATTCACACTAACACTTCATCGTTTCCCATAATTAGCCTACTTAGTAACGTGACAAATTTAAATTTCTCCGTATTTTTTAAGTTTCGAATCGATGCCCGCAACACATGTTCATACGAACATATATATAAGAGCGTAGTGTTTTTTACGCGTTATAGTAAACGTAAAAGCTTTTCATTAATGAGTTTTTTTCTGTCGTTATTGAAAATAACAGCCATTGGCTCAAAATAGAACTGGATAGCGTGCTATGAAGTGACTCTGAGGTAGGTGCAGCGTATCAGGAAGGTTGAAGAAAGACTGTTTTATCTGAAATTCGGTGTTCCCATTGGTAAAGACTTAAATACCAAGCTGTTCTACACAAATACTGAGTTCTAAATGCTGTCAGGTTTAATCATATTAACACTGTCGAACATTCTTAAGGTTGATAATAGTTATACACAATGTTATGCGTGCAGAATATTGATGCCTGCACGCGGATTGCTATTAAAGGATTCGAGGCAGTCGATGTCCTCGTGTTTGAAGATTTAACTCCTAACTTACCGCAGCAGTTCTGGGAGGTCCAAGGTATTTTCCAATTGGGGCATTTCAAACCCTAAAGCGGATAGCAGATTGGTTTATTCCTTTCCAAAGTTGTTCATAATGGGATAGGCAGGTTTAGTAAGGGATCTTAAGGAACGTTTACAAGCCAAATATCAAAGATACAATTAATTTTGGTATGTCTTAGGTTTTATGGGTGGGCCCGATCTTGAGCTGACACATGGAACCGCGTCAAATAGCAAGAAATACTGCACATGAAAAACACGGATTGGGAACTAACGAGGCACAGCTTAACACTCGATGTAGTGAGATCAGTCGCCCTTGGTCATTATTACCGCTAACGAGAAAATGATTGACTATATTCGACGATCAGTCGCACACATGGTATAAAATTTTGCATAGCGGACATAATAACGATACACTGCTAACGTCTTGGTCACAGTTACTAATAGTTCTAATTATAATCGTATATGAAATGTTACAAGGAGCATTGTGAGCAATGCATCTTATGCTAAACATGCCAAGCCTTTCTTATAAATAATAACCTTGATCATAGAAGGGGAAAGTCAGAAGCGGCCATCGATTCAACAAGGAGAAAGTTACATTTTTAACTGAAAAGAACTATCGACATTTCGGTTGTCGCATATACGATATACTAGTACATACACATATACTGCAGAAACTATGACGCTAACCATCGCCGTTGTCAAATATATGTACAGGTTGAATTCAACAATGTCGAAGAGTCTCTTACCTCAATAAGATCGCACGTTCATAATATGAAGTATGGCGTCATAAATCAGTTGACCATATATCTTATTTTAAAATATAACTATCATATCATAAATCATAGAAAGGACATATAACAGCAGGCTATATAGCGTATATAATACAAGCGTATATGGAAAATACCAGCGGCGTACTTTTGCGCTTGTTCTCAGATTAAGAAAGGGATAAGAGAGGTTTAGCGGTCTGTCGATCCGTAATTGGTAGGAGGGCAGCAGGAATAAAAGATTCAGTGACAAAACTTCAATAGACAAATGTACACATTGCGTAGTCCAGAGGAAATCGCGAAAAAGGCGTTATCAGGGCGGAATTGATAGCCATCTATTTTCTGCTTCTATAGCATAGGTAATGAATATATTAACTTTGGTAACTGGTGCAGAAAAACTGAGATCATTCTGGCATCGGACAGGAGGTGGTCGGAGCTAGGGACGACGGGAAGAGAAGTGCCCGGCCCTGTATAAAATAGTAGTGGATCCTTGGATGATTTTTAGCAAAAAGAACTCGTCAGAGTTTTTTTCTTAGTAACGCAAGCGATTTTGAAATGGGTTCCCTATCTTAGGGGCTTTGTCGACAAAAGGCAACACACGCAATGAGTAACGCTGTTATCAGTCTGAAAGGGCACGATGTATTATGGTTTCGTTTGTATGTCTTATGAATGCTGGTGTCAAAGCGGGCAGATATCATACGAAATGACCTGGTACTGCGGGAACTTTGTTCTTGTCGCAGATAAGGGCAGAGGACAGTTGTTTCGATTAGCTAATGGATTACAGGAGCTATGTCGTTTACAATGAGCGAAAATTCTTGGATATTTTGCAGTGATAACTTGGTTCGAAAACGTGTTTAGGTAAAAAAGCTAGGGATGCATTTACGGGGACGACGTCAAAAACAATTTAAGAACAACCTCTCAGGAGAAAGATTTTACCGAACTTGCGCACAGCCGTCTAATGGCCTACGTAAGTACATCTTATTGATATATTTCCAACTGAAGAACTTCTATATAGTTCCAATAAAAATTGTACACGTACCCTTTGGGAAGTTAGAATAATATAATAATAATAATAGTAAATAATTATAGTAAATTCTCTTGCTCTTGTAGCCATTACAGAGCGCTATCAACTGATCGGCTGCAACTTTTGTACAACATAGTAACGAAAACTTTCGTCCTTGTCAGAACTCACCCGAAAGAATCTGCCATGGTTCTGCAAGTGTCGACTATTTTTCTCACATTCAAACGGTAGTAATCAGGCAAATGTAATCCAAAAAACATAGCTAGAGAGATAACCTTCTAGGCCACCTGACGTGTCGTGTTTGCGTACCTATTATTGAACGGCCTACTCAAATAAAATAGTTGTCCTGATAATACTAAGCTAACGAGTGTTTACTAAACATACAAACGAGACAAATTAAGCGTTTCGATATTTCTTTAGGCTATTGACGTTAAAAATGTCGGTCCTTCTTCAAAAAGTGTTCTACCTGTGTTCAACAGCCGCAACGACACAGCCGTGCGAGGCAAGCTCAATACAGAGGGACGAGCTTGTAGTTCGGCATTCGCCAATATCGTGTGAGAAAAGCACCAGCGGAAATGCGTTGCGGTTCTCTCGCACCGGCCTTCCGTTCGTTGTAGCGGGAACGTATAAGGACGCTGTTTGCTTTCCGAGTATCCTACGAACGAGAAATGAAAAAATAGGAACGATCGAGAAATGAATCGCGGTCGGCTAAAGGAAATATTCCGCTTTATATAAATAATCGAGTAAAAACAAGTAAAATTAAAAAGAAGAGATTTAAACACTTGCTATTGCTGTATGTTAGCCATTCACGATTTGGAAACATTTCTATCTGGAATATTTGATTAAAAAATTTGTTTTAAAGAAGAGCTCAGATAACGCAGGGCTAATGACGAGTACACTAATACGTATATGTCTGGTAATCAAGCTACTCTTAGAAAAAGTTCTAAGCGCATTTTCAAGCGTCTATAATAATAAGTAATGTTTAGATAACTTAGTTTATTTTTTTGTATTGCGGAAATTACGGATACGGAGTCGTAAGGTTGCAAATGTCAGTAATCTACTCGATGCTATTTTCCTAATGAAATAGTGTAGTTTGCCAATAGTGATACTGATGACGAGTATATAAAATTCTTATTATTTGACACTTACTTATATATTACAATACTTGCACTAATACGATACAACACATTGGCGCAATCCTTTTTAATTATCTAACAATAATTAATTATCCTAGAGCATTAACTCACTCTCTTGTGTTTATCCTGCATGTTTTAACCTTTATTAAGAACACTAAATCCCACTGTCTCCATCTAATTATAATAGAAACCTGCGCGTTACACCCGCGATATTTCCTAGTACTCCAACACTGTTTCGATCCTCGTAGAAAGTAAAAACGTACGTTGAGAGAGAAACTGAGGTAACTAGTTGCTAATATAGCGGTATCAATAGCATGTAGGATATTGAACAACTAGTACCACTTTATGCCCTTTCACAATACCGAATCCTTCCCACCCCACAAAACATATCTTTCTATCCGATAGTGTTTTTTTTTTTCTTCTTTTCGTTTCCGTTTTCTTAGTTGTTGATTTTCGCCTGCTTCAAGCTCTAGCTGCCAATCGTCACCGGACTACCATAGTGAAAAATACGATAAATGTACGATATCGTGCGACGAAGGGGGGGCTGCTAGCTTGAGTCCACTTGAATTTTCTGAAGGAGCGCTGCTAATCGACTGGCCTTGTTATTGGCGCGAACAGTTCCAACTTGTTATGCTGTTTTCTATTACTGCCTGTACTTTTTTTTGTATCTCGAATCTACGAGTTTTGGTTCTTTCTATTCATAGCATGGCTGCTTCAACGGACACAGTCTATTCGAGAATGCAGCGGTGTCAGCACGGAACGGTTCCCGAATGATTCCAGAATTGCCGGCGTCTTTGCACGCACTAGTCTGTGCGACAAACGCTGCAATCTTTTCTGAAATGTCCATGGAGCCATTTTGGCCCAATTAGACCTACTGGGTGGTGGCAAGGCCGTCGATAGCTGGCTTCGACTCGTGGCCTCACTGATCTGACACTTTCTTGACTTCTTTCTGATTTTCTCGGAGTTACTGGCGACAGCGGGCTAACACTATACATAGGAACCTGCTGGAATAGCAGGGGCGGTCGAAGTCTTCGAGGATCTGTTGAAATGTTTTGAAACTATACGTAGGCAAAAGAGAGAAATAAATGAAGAGGCGTGCAGGAAGAGCGGATTTCTAATCGGAAAATTATGCGACTTCAAACGACGTCCCCTCATTAGTTTGCCCATCTACCTTAACTGGCATTCATTTTTCACACTCATAGAAATAGAGAAAAAACACACCTTCAAAGAAACATGGCCGGCCGCAAATGTTCATCTCAATCTAGAAAAGAAATTTCTTTTTAAAAAAACGTAACCTTGCGTTACGAATTCGTTATTCCTGAAAACAGTCGAGTTAAATGAATTACGATCTGATGCGCAGCATCTCGTTATCTGATTGCCCATCCGTGGATCGGATCTGCCATTGGCAAACGATTTCCCATTAGAAACATTGTAGTATCGCAAAGTGTATTTACTTCCCATAAAGGACACCCTGGGAAACAACAGGCACACTATCGACAATTAATCTGCTTATCGCTGTAGGCATATCCAAAATAGGTCTCGAGGGAGAGATTTCGGATTGGCAGAGAATTATCGCTTCGTCTCACTAAGAAGTAGTCCACTTGCGTGCTTATTGGCTGGTGTCGATAGGGTCTTCGATCCAAAGAAAATAATTTGCAAGCTGTTGGCGCGTAATGCTTTTCTTTGTTGGCATTACGCAGGCAGAACTATTTGCGCGATTTATGTCTAAGATATCGAAGGTCAAATAAACACTGGATAAGTAGACCCTTCCAAAATTTCGAAGTGGCAAGTTCATTAGTGCGAGTAATAACGAACTTTTGTTTTGATCTTTTTCGTGTTTATGTTTTCTATTAAACTTATCCTTATAGGGCCTCAAACAAATTTCTAAAGCATTGAAACAGTTCGATCAGTCAGTGATTTCGCGGAAGAGGGACACATTTTATAGGAAACTCAAATCAAAATATCCCGGGTTCGACTATGTTAGTCGTAGTACGTTATGTTTAAACGAAAGCATTTACGACTGCTTCATATCTCGCTAGTCTCTATACCCTTATTGCGTTCACCATCTCTCACGACGTATCAAAGTGTACGTTCTATACAATACTGCCTCGTCCCGAAGTGGGCATTTCGACCTGGACAAATGCGCCCTGCTTGGGGGTCACTGGTTTTTATTATGCCTACAAGAGCATTGTGACAAGTACAAACGTCGCACAAGTCTATAAAAAGTGAACCTCGTACTTTCACCTATATAATTAGACAGGGATAGAACTTATATAATTTCTATGGTTTCTCTGCTTAATCCATAGTCGACAAAGTCAGCATGGAAACGGTATCTCGCAGGATGTACATACGATTACAGAATTGTAAGCATCGCACGTTCTAATAGATGGAAAAATAACAGACGGGGATTCGATCTTTTTCTATGTGCCTAATGTTCCAGTATCAGCAAACGAGTCAAATATATTTGAAATGGACCCGTACGTTTTCCATAGCGAAATCTATAATGTTCCAACGACCTGCATAATAAATTCAAGTAAGGATTATTTTATAGAAGAGGAAGCTTCATACGATGAAGCCTGGCGAATCAGAAGGCACTATATATCAAGATATTCAAGAGATGCAATATTTTCTTTGCTTTTGCCTTCTTTATTGTGAAGGACTAAACCGTGGGTCGGTGACTAATAACGACTAGGACCTCTATACCTTAACCATGCCCGAGTTAGCGACTATGTATTATTTATATTCTTGATCGTAACACTGTTCAAGTTTAATGACTTTGGCGAATTTTTGTTATCTTCTTTTCCCTGGCTCAGTTTTTTTCTTTCATTCATTCTGCTATTCGATGTTTAAAGTATACGTATAGATAGATGATAGAAAAGATCCCTAGTTCTTGCCAACCGCCTACCACACAGATCACTCTCCATAGTATCGCTAATAAGAGAGACACATTAATTCCCTGCTAATTCGACAGCGACCGACTGCAAAGAGATTCGCTACCTTCCCGTCTCTTCACGAAGTAATGTGTAAGTCCTCTTCGGACTGCCAGCCCAGGCGACGCACGCGTTCGGCTACAGTCCCATTACGAGAAATAGGCCAAGAACCGAACCCCTACGCCTACGCTGGCAATCCGAGGCAGGCTCTTCATCGAAGGAAGCGAAGGTACGGATTTGACGCTGCGAAGTTGGCGAGTCAGCAGACACCTATCGTTTCGGCGGATAATAAATGATGTAGCAAACAATAGTAGTAGACTGTCAGAAGCGGTAGAGAAGGGGAGACAAACGGCTAAACATGGGCAGTCAACATCAGAGATTAGCCAAAGCTGATCAACGGAGTTCGGAGCTTACTAGCACAAGGAGTTTGGGGAAAAGGGAAAAGGTAAGAGAAGAATAAGCTTCCATGTATTGGCTGAGGTGCGGAGTCGAAATTGCTGGCAAATAGGGGCCTATTCGAAAGGAAAACAGAAGGAAGTTGAGGTTTGACGATAAACACATTGTATGAGTGAAAGATGCGGCAAGCTACGTACTTGACGGATATGGCCCTCCACTCCAGACGAGCGCGCGTCCGATCCTTAACCATCGGCCGTCCTCTGTCAATATCCGTTAGTCCGTATTTCATTTTACATGTATTCACCCTCCATTTTGTGAGGCACTGAGCAGAAAATACATGCGGAATAGAAGTAGAGAGCGAACTTTCTATGAAGTAAATTACAGTAGCAGACTGTAAATGAGTGGCGAGTGTACAGAGTGACTGGATAATTTTAGGTACCGGTTGCGACATCCGTGATAGTTTAGTGGTAAAGGTATTTGATGCTAAACTTATAGAAATACATTGTGGTCTAGGATCGAATCCCGGCATAGACATACCTCGTTGCGTGAAGGGTGGGAGGCAACACGACGTCTGATGAAGCCCAATAGCGGTACCGAACGTAAAACTAAACATTTAGATATAATGGAGACGAATCGGATGTGCTGTTGCCACTGCCACAATTTAATTTCATTAATAAAGAACAAGTATTACTGTGTTATTCCCGTAAACCAAAATTTAGAAATAGGACGTGAGCTAGCAGGGTATGTATGATGTGAGAAGACCTAGAATAAGTACCTAGTCAACGATGAGAAGAGTCCCTTTGCACTCTAAGAACACAGCATGCCTTTCCAATCCACACCAATGGTGGTTTTTTTGTACAACATTTTGTATAACATATGCAGAATAAAACATTTAACTACAACGTTTCTTTCTCGAGAAAAGGATGCGCGGTTTTATAGAGGCGTTTATTCGAAAGTGGTATTACTAGATAAAGACGAATAAGAGTGCAGTCATGCTAGCAGCCGTGGCAGTTTGATCGGAGATCCAATCTCCATGTTATACGAAGCAGCTACGAGATAATAACAGTGTATGACACTGCGAAAAAACTCATTGTATGGCTAACTTTATTTAGCTTTTAAAAACGGAACATCAGAAGATCTCCGAGTTTCAGCTGTCGTTAAAAATTGTTTAATTAGTCATTAATTAAGTGTTTAAACTAATGATCGTTTTTGAAGCTAGACGACGTTAAAACTACAAATATCACGTCATATGAATTGCGTCAAATCGGCGTTGGTGTGCTTTAGAAGCTGAAGTTCAGCGGCACTAGATGTACTAAAAATATTGGAACGCTTTTAATTGGATTTAAGATAGAATGTCTTTCAAATGAGCAAAATTTTTCGAAAAAACATACTTTACAAATTTATTACCATAAAGGCATAAACGGTGTAAAAACCCGTACATTTGTGTTGTTTATGGTCAAGATGGGTTATCGAAGGAAACAGCCCAAGAATGATTGGTGACTTTCGTTTCGAGAATTTCTATATGGAAAATGCTCCCCTTAGTGCGGAAAAAATTGATGAAATAACGATTGCAAAAGTTGGGGGAGACAACCGACATATGAGTACCCATGATACCGCTGTGGGACTAAACTTTCTCTGCTAAACAGTTTTATATCACTTGAATAAATCTTTTTCAAAAAAAAAGCTCGATATTTAACTGCCACATAAACTGACGCAATAGAATTTACCCGATCGTACTTTTATTTGCAAAATTCTACAAAAAGCCAATGAAATAAAGCCATCTAAAGAAAGGATAGTAATATGCAAATAAAAAAAATGTGCTCCAGAATCTGTACCAAAGTCCAGACTGACACCAAAAATTATGTTGATGCTATATGTTTGGCGAAATTAGAAGAAAATGATTCATCATGGGTTGCTATCGCCCGGAAAAACAAATGGTTCGAATCTCTATCAGGTCCGGAGGTAAGTAGGCTACAACAAGCCATTGAAAAAATCGATTGGAACTAGTGAACGAAAAAAGCGTCGTCTGCTACGATAATAATAACAATCCACGCACATCCTTAGCTGCCTGACATTCGAAGGAACTTGGATAGGAAATTCTAATGCATCCGCAGATCTCGCATCATCTAGCTATCATCCGTTATGGTCTCTCTTTTATTAGTGCTGCTTGTCACAATTTTTGCCCAGAAACTACGGAAGTTATACGGCGATAGGATTATGGTATTACCAGGAAAATGACGGTAGGCTGTTGATCAAAATAGCGCATATTTTATCCGGTACTATTATTTTGAAATAGATTTAAAAAAAAAAAAACATTTATTTCAGTTTTGGCTTAGAAACGGTTTTTCCGACAGTCCAAGGTATATAATGCTTTTCCGGCCCAGTTAACTGAATTCGTTCAGATGACTAATTCAAGTCCCGCGGTCGATACCAGACGTCATAATATATGTGTCATAAAAATCATTATTATGTGAAGAATATTATTTTTCTACACAAAAAATTTTAAAAAAAAATTGAAATGAAGTGCATTTCAGAGGACTTACTTGTGCGTGAAATAGGTAAGGTTTCCGTGCACCTTGGCATAGCCATCAGAATACTTCTTCTCTGGTTGCGGTAGCCAGGTTGTTCTGCGGTCGACATCCTCCACGATATGCGACCTTTCATCGCACGGATAAAAGATACGGAAGAGGACGCCTCGATCCCGAGTGACGCCGTTCAACATGTCTACGGAGCCTACCTGTATCGTAATTGTCCCAAGTACTTAAGGATTAAATTAAATTCTAAAAGATGAATAGCTCAAATCTCAACAAATCGTCTATAATGTTTTTTTTTTTCTATTATAGGACAAATACTGTGATTGGGCACCAACAGGCAAAAATTACGAAATTGAATAAAAAGACTCATATGCTGTAGGGAACTGACATTTCGAACGTCTATAAAGGGAAGACCAAATGTGCTAACGCTAGGATAGATGTAAATGCAAATTAAAACTTATATTTAAAACCGCATTTGTGTAGAATGCAAATTCCATTTTCACCTAATTAGATGCCCGCTTATTTGTAACGTTAGATTTAAATTTTTTCCATTTTGAGGCACCCTGATCCAAAGTTACTTTCCGACATATAGATAGATATATTCGATACTTTTACAGCCATGTACTTTGTGTTTTCCGTCCGGTACTGCAGACAAATCTTGGACTCCCTGGAGCCGGCAGACTTGCTATAGTTATACGCACAGATATGGTTAAAAAGCTTTCGTTACATTCCTTTATGTCCTTCCCCAGTTTCTAGCTACCGCTATCAGCCATGTTTACAACTAATCGATGAACCCCAGGGGCACCCAAGCAGCTCTCGCTGCTTTGTAAATCAGAGATGTCTGATTTTACGTAGAGCTATGTTAAGCGCTTTCAACTTCTGCCTCCTGCCTTTTCCGCCTCAGCAACATATTATGCATATCGCTGGTATCTCTCTGTTTTGCATCTTGGGGTTCAGTATTTCTTGTTCGTGTTGTGTAGGGCGAACAAAAGATCCCTTGTAAAAATTACTTATTTGCTTGAGGGTCTCCACTTTATACTTCACTATATGTAAATTTGTCGAGAGATCTTGCTTCACTTTGTCTAATACATTTCTTCAACTGTGACGGAAAGTTCACAAATTACTGTTTCTGTGACCTCCGTAATATCATGCCGTATGCGTTTTAATGATAGTTGAACACCACAAATTGACTTACTTTGCTATCATTCGTATAGTCAAAAACGTTTTAATAATACCACTATAGAACTCTCTATTTGCAAGCACGAACCTGCATTTACCTAACCGCATTACATAGTATTGCAGAATACAGGTCTTTAAAGGGAAGACTGTAGGATTCGCACATTCGGTCGTGCTACTCATTCGTATATCAACACCTGTGGGCTTGAAGATCGATATAGTGCACCGTGTTCGTGTTTAGTCGTACGGTTTTTCCGTTTCCATAAAACGTTTGACAAGTGTGCTCTGTTAAGTTCTTTATTCGACGCAGGACTTTATTCGACGTGGAAGGGTACGCGCATCTCTATATGTACGTCACAATGTGGCGCACTTAGTTACTCGAGTTTCTCGCGCCATCATACCTATCGTAAGAGGTGCGCCGACGCTTAGAAAGGACCAATGGTAACCTGCGGGAAATCTCTTTATTTCGAAAAACTACGGAACTCCCAGTCTTTGTTCATGTTTATAGCGAAATTAAAGAAAAATAGAGTAACTCTCCATTGTACCGATTGTCGCAAGTTATTCTTTGGCCTTGTCTCTCCTCGCCTGAAGGTTTTTCCCTGACTGAATTGTCGATGTCATATCGTCCGGAGATCCCATAGTTGGGGTTCAGCACAACTTGCTTGTCGACCTTTTACAAGCCCCATGAACTGCTAGTTGCGGTAACTTTATGACCACAGCCACTCGCGGGTACGCCCTGCAGAAGCAGTTGCGCTTACCAGTATGCAGAAGGAAAGGTCGGGCGGAGAACGTCACGAGAGAGTTTCACAAGGTATCGGCAACGAAATGTTAAGGATGCTTTAAAAGCGGACCTTCACCGTTTTTTTTGAAGGGATGCATTTTGCTGAAAAACACGAAAACAAACTCAATAGGAGACGCACTCAAGAGCACTCCACGTAAATCTCTTAGTTCCACATGGGTTACAGTATATATACATGAGCCGCGCCTCATATTTCTGCCGTCTTGCATTGCCAATCGCCGAACTGCGCCATTTCCTCTCACTGAGCTCTTTTTTATACTCAGGCTCGTCGAGCTGCATCGCAGCATGCGCAGTAGTGGTCCTCGCAATAGGGCAATACTAAAGTGTTTGCTCACTAAATTTAAGCACACTTAGTGAAATGGCCTATGTTTGAAAGCAAGCCTAGATACACCTCGTTTCATGCCGGAGCCAGCCAGATGTCTGAGTTAATGCTTAACCACAGTATCGCTGGATGTAAAACTCTAGAAAAAAGCATCTGCACTATGCGAAAATTTTGCTAACGTAAGGGAGACCCTAGACCGATCAGTAAACGCAACAAACGAATATGTTGACTCATAGCATCTCGAACTTCGCCACAGTAGAGTGGTGCTCAAAAACCGAGACTTACCGGCAGACAAGCTACAGGAAAAACCGGATGTTCTTGAGTAGTTGCAACAAGCCCGTTAAACAATATGAAGACGCTATTACGTTGGTGGGCAAAAGGAAGGGCAATCGTTAGCCACCTCCCTTCTCCTGCCACTTAGAATTAGGTAGCACGCGGTTAAAAATCCCCACTTTCACAGTTCTTTGTTTATTACCTTCCGATACAGCCCAGATAGTGGCAGGCAGTATTAATAAAATCCCGCATAGTAACACAAACATTAGGCATTGCTGCTCTTCCAGCAGTCACTTCTGGATGAGGGGGTCTTGCGTCACATCACGGCAACCGTGGTCGCGCAGTTAAGGACATCTTATTTTGGTATTCGTATGGGTTGGCGGGGTGCGGTGTGCCTTCTCCGCTTATGGAACCCTATGGCTGTCGTGAGTCCTTCTGGTGCGCGAACGCAGTATTTCTCTTTAATGTCTCGACGGCTGCACTGGCCATACACTTGCGCAGTAGATGATAACTTATGAGCCGGAATCGCACGAGATACGATCCACTGTAGGAGTGGAGTTACGTGATTGTATCTACTAGCGTAGAGAATATGCACCACAAATCCATAAAGAATAATAATCTATATGTACGTGCTATGTGTACTTGGGTCGGCTAAATCAATGAGCGAAGAAGAGGTATTTTGTCGCTCGGGAGCGGAAACACATTTCCTGTACAACATCTCCTTTAACAAGCAACTAATTCAACGTCAGATGTACCGCAGTTGCGGTGCGATCAAATAAACGTGCACAATATAACGACTCGGATATGCAAGGCTACTACTGTAATGAAGCTTCTATCTTTTTTATTGATGTTGATGATCCCTAAAGGCAACTCGTAACATGTTCCTACAGAGAAAACGATAAGGACTCATCGAGGAATCGTGTTATAACCGAAGATCGAACATACGTAGAATGTCCATTGGCAGCAAACTGTGTGGCTCTTTCATAGGAAAATGGGGCCAAATAGAATGACTAGCTACCAACTTTTATATCTCTACAGGGTGATCTGAAACTCATAGGAAATATTCTGATAAACATAATGCTAGAGCTCGGTAAAGGAAACATTTAAGACCTAATCGGATTATTAAGTATTAAAGTGATGCAAAATAGAAGATAAAAATCTTCCTTTTGCATATACATATGTTCTTTTAGTTTCTGGGTGGCAGCAGTGATTTGCGCGGGTTCGTAAGTGGTGTTCGTCACGAGCTGTTAACACATTGGTGTGTAGCTTTAGTAGGAGTCTTCGGCTCTCTGAAATCTCTCTCGGCTCGCTGATGGCTCGACTGAAATGTTTCTGATAACCGTGTTAAGTGTTTCTTTTCTCGAACCCGATTATTAACGATTTACTATTTTCGGACCAGGCTTTGGAGCGCACTGTTCTAACAGAACGATTATGGTTCGCCGTTACAAGCAGCTCTATGTTCCTATGGCAAAATAGCTTGAGAAAACTAATAGCTGGCTACTCATAGCGCCATCTTCATCAAGCTACGCATAAAAAATGAGAATATGCTATAGACAAAGTAAAGGTAATGGGATGACATCTACAACAGGGAGCTCGCTAGAGATTAAGAACAGCCCCACGAAAACAGAGTTACCTGTAGCTGCCATCTCATTAAGCGACGAGATACGGTAATGCGCGATGAATCTATTAAACGAGAGACTTGCGTAATCGACGTATGATATTTGCCTGCAGCAAAACAGCCTTCTGGATCATTAGTATTTTGAACTGTATGTCGGCTGTATATACATGCAGGTCATTTCGTGTCCAGAGAAAGGCTTTAAGATTGGCGGTCCCCTAAAGTCAGTTGACAAACTGAAATTGTTTAGTTCAAAGTTTAAGTGTCCTTCAAATGTGACTTACCATTACTTCAACATGAGCTTTTTTTTTTACTAATTTTTTTTTAAGATCGGCTACAGTGTAGTTATCCCTTGCATATCAGTCAACGAAGCTTGCGTAACCTACCTTATACCGACCACGTGGGAGGGGCAAGTGATTGATGCCCTCTGTTGAAAGCGTTTTATCGCGGTCTCGTTCCCCATCCTCCATCGAGGCCACGCTTCACGCCAACAATAGACAGATAAAGTGGATATCCTCTTCGACCCAAACGGTTAAGTCCAATTTACCACTCAGAATCCAGGTAGCAGGCTGATTTTATGCGCCGACTGCCGTTGCTAGTATCGCGATGCCGTCTGAAATTGGATTGTTCACAAAATACGAAAACAAATATACGATACTTGATCTTCCCAAATAACAATAAAGACTCCAACTCTCTAATAAATGGCACATTTTTTTATGTTTTTTTACAAAATTCTTAAATTTGTAGTGTTTGATAGCTTAGGGTTAGTACATACAATTAAATTAAATAAACTTCCTTTTAATAACGTAGTAAACGTCGCATCGTAAAAAGAAGCCCATGTGTGAAAGTCATCATTAATCTCCAATCTATAATGAAGCACGAATAAGTTTGCTTTTTTGCCATTTCCTATTTATTTCCTAGTAAAACAGTCAATGACAGTTTCTGATAACGTCACCGTTATGCTATATGCGGACAAACCCAGGGGGTAGTTGGGGATTTTTGTGACTCATTAGTTCGAACTCTTACTCCTGCGTGGATATTGAGGTGATTTCTGCGTAAGAGGATGAGGAGAAGAAATGTCCAACGACCCTAACGCTGAAAACCATTAGGAAGGCAGATATTCAACAGGAAATAAAAACGTTGAACCATTTCTCTATGTGTGTAAACGCCTTTCTGTAAGGGAGAAACCCTATACGTTAAGGGTAGATAAATGAATGGGGGAAAAGGCTCCCCGCTAGAACGTTTCAACCTTGGCTGTGCGCCCCACACACATGGATAGTCTTAAGTTCTTACCTATATCGTTATTATTGCACTTTATCTGTTTTTGTTCTTCGGCCACACCTGTCGTGTAGTTTGGTAAATACAGAATATTTTATATATAAATATATAGTATTCTTATTTTGTGAAAATAGGTGAATATTGCGCGTACCTAAAAACCAACAGTTTTATACCGAAGTAAGTTTTAGGTGTTTCGCCTGTTTCCAGTGGTAGCTACCATAAAACACAAACGATATAATAAAGCATTTAAGTCTACAATCGTAAAAACAACAAAATACAATTTTTGCTTCGTAAACGGGGAATATCTATTATAACATATTCATTTTGAACGGTAACTTACTCATCACATGACTAAAGTTATTCAAAATCGTTGATTTGAGAGATATATACTAAAGACCAGTAAGGACAACCTTTCGTTTAATGATCATGTGCACACGAAGACACTATATTATATTAGGTAGGATAAGTTACAAGATGCATTTCTAAAAAGCTTTTTTGAGCTGTCCCAGGCTTCGCTTTCCATCTCAGGATAAATGGAAGCTTATTTCGAAACGTACCTCGAAGGACACCTCCCAAGCCTGTTGTATTTACTGGCATGCTAGACTGACACCATGTATTATTTTATATTTTAATCATCCCATAGTATATTAAAAAGGCCCTTTGTATAAAGCTGCCACGAAAAAAGATTAACACTTAGCCAAATAAGTTATACTCAAAAAAATTATCTGACAGTCTTAACAGGACACCCGCTGTTATTTTATGATAACGTTAAAAAGCCTACGGCCTACACAGTTTGGCTCCTGCCACATAAAAAGCAACTGATTAGCATCAGCTGCGAGTATTAATGGAAAACAACACACTGTAGTTTAACACTACAGACGTCCCTTTATAAACACCATGGAATTACTCGACCGTATCCTGGCTTTTCCGTTAAAATACTCCAGGAACGCCCATATTAAAAAAGCCATTTGCTAACAAAATAGTTATACAACGTTGTTACACGGACATCTGTCGTGTATCAACTAGGCAGGCAGAACATCTTTCTTATACATAAATAATTAATAGAATGGGCAGATCTAAATTGTATTGATGGGCCATAATCAAACTTTTTAACAATTCATTAGCTTCATCGTAGCTGGCGTTTGCAATAAAAAAAAGTGACGTATTTCGTGTATTTCTCTAACGACATGAACTTCAAGTTGGAGTGCACGCGTTGCGTTCCCTATCTGTGAAAGCCGTGTCGTACTAACTGCGTTTTTCACGCGCGCAAAAACTCCCCGGAATATTTTGTTACGTCGCCCCCGTAAACAACGATATACTAGAACTGAACACAACAAAAGATCTCCATCACTTGAAGAATACTTCCTCCTTGCCATTTCCAGTTAACGCTCAACGCACCCTCAGAGCAAGATAGCTTTTCATTACGTGGCGTCAATTTCTTTTGCCCTATCTTTGTTGCTCTTGCGGTAACAATGCGTAGTGTAATCCAACAAACCCTCAGAGTTCTTAATCGCCTTCTGCTCCGCTCCCGCCTAAATCAAGGCGAGGCCCTAACGTTGCTAGGACAAAACGATTGTTAGCTAGACAAAAAGAAATAAAGGAAAAGCCTTTAGGCAGGCTTGACTAAGCTAGGTGCAGTGTCCAGTGGTCTTGTCTATACAGGAAAAAAGAGGCGAAAAACCAGACCAGGGAATATTCAAATAGTGAAATCATTCATTATATAGGAAATGCTCTTGGGTTTCATTTAGTCGGGAAACGGAAAAAAATATAGATATATATCCTGTTAGAGTACTCTATAAGTGTTCAGCGTACTTCTACGTTGAGTGAGATTAACTAACCATAAAATTTCACTTGGCGCTAAGCAAAAACAGGGCGTCCCAATGCAAAATAATGAGTAACCTCAGTTGTTAGTACACGGTAGAAACTAGCTTGGTACTGACATTGGTCAAATTTCTGAACTAAAAATCGTTAAGCTTCGCTTTTTGTTGTTTTAGCTTTGTCAGCCTTGTGGCAACTGTCAGTAACGGTGTGTATCGGTTTTCCTTTAAATGGTACGAGATTGGTGCGTGTACTTCGGTTTTATCTATTTGATGCGGTTCTCAATGCGTCTCTTTAAGATTCGATAGATTAAATATTCAGGTAACCCAGTAACCTAGCATACGAGTGGCATACCCTCAAAAGATAACACATGATAAGCTTTTTGAGTAGGGATATGTTTTCCCACAGACGGCACACTGTTACCGTGTTGCTTTTTTTTACCGTCTTCCTTACCGCGGTTCAAATCTCTGTTATTGCTGCAACCGTCTTTTACTGTCATAAAATCCTTCTATTGAATTTTTCTTATCAACTTCCAACACGGTTCTGTCCATTTAGAACATTTCGAGTTGCCTCACTGCCACTACGGTACACGCCGGCTTGCAGGAATTTCCCACGAAAACAGGACGCGGTTATTATGCGAACCTGGTGCTCGATGCTGTGGAACATCGCCTTTGATGTTAGGAGTTCATCCAGACCAGCCGGGTAACTCGAATCGGGAATAGTTTGTGTTCTTTTTTTTTGCTTGGTTGCAATCACGTCAGCTTTGCAAATACTCACGTATCGGCTGTTAACTTGTACACATATGAGCGGTATACGAGCAACTGGTAAGTTATACTAGCTTTCCATGCTTGTTTTTGTCCGCGAGTTTGGAGGCATAGAAGTGACTCTCACTGATTTTAGTCGGCATCTGCATTCTTGACCCCATGTCACTACTTCGTGCGTGGGTGTACGTACGTAAGAATAAACAAACGTAATTTTTGTTGTCGTTGTTTTTCGTGTTATTGGTGTTTTCCACAAGGAAAAAGGTGGGGTCAGGCCTATGGCGAAGACTGACCGGGACGGTAATAGCCCAAGCCTATTAGTTCATAAAATATATACACTACAGATGTCTGTTTACCAGTGTTTTGTAGGTACGGCATAATATCGGTCCGCAGAACTGTCCATTCATCGGCCTCTGTCAGCACTACCTGTTTGGCCGTCACTGTCTGTCGGTCAAGGAAGGACAGGTCAAAGTAAAGCCAAATACTGTAAGAGGTAACAGGGTTAGAAAGGCAAAAGAACTACACGAAATTAAATAAAAATAATGAAACGAGCCTGTTTTAATATCCCGTCGAGTAATAGGTAGAGGGATATCCTGAAGCAAAATAAGCGAATACGACGCTAGGGCCAATTCACGTATAAGGTCCTGCTAACGACGCGCTGGTCGGTTAACCAGATGTCTAGAAGCAAGCATATATGGAAGAATATCGAGGTGTAGCTTTCAATCTATTTTGGTAAGTTTAGGGGTAAACTTAATAGTGACGCATGGTAGGCGCATTTGTAGTTAAATATGACAGATAGTTTGTTATCAAAAAGCAAAATTCAACCTTGCCACTGTAAAGGATATTTTTTTTCATGACAGAAGTGTAGGCTTTCGAAATGACGAAAAAAACAGCGTAAATTTAGTTCAGAAAAAAACTGTGTATCGGTTGGCCGAAGCAGTATATATGTATACATATGAGCCAAGTATTGACAGCGTTTCTCGGACCAATATGTTCCATTTGCAGTTACAAACATGTTAGCACGAAGTAGAGCAGTAGCAGCTTCAGGAATATTTCGCAATCAACTGTTTGGAGTTTTACGGAAATACGCTCGTAATAATTAGTAATAAACGTCAAAAACATATAACCAATTACTCAATAATCGTACTTCCGCACCTGCAATTCTAGAGAGATACGTCCTCCATTTTGTAATTGTGTGTTTTTAATTAATTTTTGTATTTTTTCTGAGGCAGGTGTTCGATTTAACTTCAATTGTACCCCTGTTGCATCGAAGGTGTGATTCACAGTGGTTACGGCGCAGGTGTATAAAAACATGGCAATAAGTGATTTATTTCCTGCAACACCTAAAGCCCCAATGCGTATATGATCAGCAGGAGCATTATTCTCGCGAATCCATTCAGATATTATCCAAATATATTTATTATCTATTTACAAAAGTTGATTATTATTTTGGGCTGATCGAAACTCCGCGCTTGCAAATTATATGATCTGATTTAAAAAAAAATTGACTTGCAGGGGTTTACTATTTGGTTTTGCTTAAGGGATGTATTGTTTGATTTCTGATCTAAACACAATATGACAGCGTCTATCAAAATGGTTATCTATAGCAATAGATTCGAGGTTAGTCTTACGATGCCATTAGTACCATTTCGGTCCTCTTGAAAACGAGTCGGACAGAATCTCACTCGTGGCATAATACCTCCTGGCCTATTTCGACGTGTCAAGTATAGTTCGTAGCGTGAATTCTTTTCACAACCTACCACATACAATAGGTGTAGTCGAAGAAGAAAGGTCTTTTTGAGAGTATAATGCAGTGTGGATTAACTCTTTTTCTTTATTCCTGTTTAGTCGACGCACTCCGCGGCGATGCATCGCGATTGGAATCACATGTGTTGTCAAGCTGGACTTGGACCGACGCGCCTTACGTTTACGTTGTTTTGCCTTTGCCAGTGTCAGAAAATTCGTCTTGACCGTTCCAATGAATAGCAGTACGTTGAAGATGTCTGAAAATCGCGAACGTAGTCATCGTGGTATGAATCCAGAAAAGTGGCTCTATAACTAACCGTCGTTCGTGTTAATTTCAAAAGGACTTTTTAACGACGAGCTATCTACTTCGCAGGCAGGAACCGCACGCTGCGTGTGTCGAGATTTTGCCCGCGGTCGAACCAGCAACGTTATTTCGAACTCCAAGCCGCTGCTTTAAGTTTTTGTATCATTATATAGTACCTACAATCGCGGCCTCTAATTGAATTTTTTCCAGCGGCAAACGTCATTCCGTTCGTTCTTTTCGGTTTACTTCCTGCACTTCAAATGCGATTGGAGCGCCCCCCATACCAGACACTTTGCGGTTTTCGACTACCGTCGACCATTCTTCATTAAGAACGGAATTCAATACCGAATCGAACGCCACATAGCATTGAAAGCTGGATCCTGAACAGGCTGGTGAGTGCAGGCCAGTTCAAACAGGCCTCAAGACTTGCACAATCGAACAATTTCAAATTATGTGCACACAATTCGTGTCATTATTATATAACCTCTTGGACTTGATAATCTTACAAATAAAATGTAATAGACTTGTGCAGTGAGCAGGAAAATGGGGTTATTACTGTTGAATGGGTATAACGTATTTGAGCAATAGCGTAATTTACTCAAATCAGTAAAAAGAAAACTACGAGATTTCGTTAGTATGCTGATAATCGTATAGGTGCCTCTGAAATAGGTAGACAATACTGTGATGAAGAAACTCAAGACATCCGTATGAAGTAGTTGATAGTTAAAAAAGCATGTACTTCTTTTCTCCTGTACGAAGGTCGAGATCAAAATAAATGTCAAGCCAAGCTGAGGATTTATTCAGTTAACGAATAATTATGTTAAAAGAGAAAGTCAAAGGTAATTCAGTTAGAAATCGAAACTAAATAATCTAGCTATACTTCCTGATTATTCTGAACCTTGTCAATACATTCATACCCTGTGATCAACGAATTCGGTGCAAAATACTCTGTTCGCTGAAGCTGTTAAAGTAGTTCCTTGATATCAAGAGAATATTTCTTCAGCCCTGCATCACCGTAAACAGGTCGCGCTTCATATTCTTCTAAATAGTGATTAGTATTATTCAGTACCTTACGTGACCGACAACTACACCCGTAATAGAAAATAGGAAAAAAAGATATCATGTAAGCCTATTTTGAAACACACTGATCCATTAGTGGTTACAGCCGTGTTATTTGAAAGTCATGCTTGGTTTACGCTGGAATATTTGAGCGTGTATCGGATCTTTTTTTCGGATCAGACCAGATAAGATCGCCGCAATATCAAAGGATCATCTATCCAGATGTTGCCCGCCTAGGTTGCACAGTCAGTCCCTAAAACAATTATTGCGCCGATGTCTATATTTAAAGACGTCATTTTTATAAAAAAATATATCATGGTAGTATTTTCGCTACCATATCAACAATCGTTGGATCTTTAGATTATCGTCCTTACTAATCTAATTGTAATCTAAAATTCACGTAAATGGCTTGTGGATTTGTGCTTTCATTAGTCGCGTGTTAATCTTCCATGACGTCCGGCTTTTCGCCACCCTAGCGTCTCGTGTGCATTTCTCTGCCTGCCCATTGGATTTCATCAGGGAATAATTTACATTTCTAATTTTGTTAATTTGTATTCCTCACTTTGGTTGGTCAGTTGCCCCGCCCTTTATCTTTGCAAAGACCCCTTTTCTTCTTGTACGATTTTGCTTCTGGCCAGTTGTTGAGTTTGATGCCACTGTTCGGCTTCATAACAAATATACCTGCGAACAAAGCCGCAGGAAAAGTTCTGACGCCTATAGCCTACCTGAGCTTCTACTCAGAGATCCGATTTAACGTCAGCTTCCATCTTGAACGTACTGTCGTCTAGTCAGCTAAGTCTGTGTTTAGCGAAGATCGAATCAAATTTAATTTAGAAACAATCCTCTCTGTTATGAAACCTATACCGTTATAAACGGCAAAGAGTTTCGCTTCGTACATGAGTAGCAACTCGTCCGCCTCTATCGATACTTACGGCCAAGTATTTCGATTTGAATAAAAAACATTACTTATAGTTTACTTATGCTATACGATAAGTGGGTTAGATAAATTAATTTATGCTTTTTTCGTTGAGGACACCCCACTTACAGGCCCGTTCCGGGATCATCAGGTATGTCACGGCTAGGAAATTCGTATACTATATGTTATTTGTGCTGGGTTGTTGACGTTATAATTTGGCTATATAAGTACTGATCGCAGTATCCCGGTGGTTGTACATACGATAGAGTTGCAATTTGATGGCTAGTTCGTATCTAGCTAGCTGAATACACACTGGTACCGATATACTAATTAAGCCCGGTAGAATTTAAAGTCGCATATCCTTAGAAATATTTGTTCTTTGATTTGTTGAACCTAAACAAAGAAATATTATCTTATTAAATTAAAAACACGTTCATTATTCTTCGATAATATACTGTCGTCCTAGCTAAAATCCAACGCAGAGACATTAAATTATGATGAAGAAGCTTATTTTTATGAAGCCATAATTAACGTCACATAGTATTACATAGCGGTAGACCATATATTCAATTGTAGATACTAAAATATTATATTGGCTAGAATAATCTCTATGTAAAAATGTATAGGTTTATCGCGCGTGGGCATGACATGTATAGTATTCGACCAAGCAAAGATGTTTCAGTTTATAGGTTCATGTATTTGATATTTTGGTATCGTCTATTAACCCAAGGAATTCCCTCAAATATCTTTCACCTCATGGTTTTGCTATATTTGACCATGCTGATTCTCAGCAATATATAGGATATGACAGAAATAGTGAATTTAAGTAGTAATCTTCTAAAACGGCATATACGTGCCCACTATACCTGTAGGCTTACATGATGTCATATGAAAGGCCTTCGGAGGAAGTCAACATCAGTGTGCAAGGCTCATGACCGCAAGGCTCATGACCACAAGGCCACCGCTTTTGTTCGCAGTTAGCCGTTTTAAAAAGAACTGTTGCTGACTCTATTAGGCAAGGCCCGGAATGGGTATCTCTTGTTTAGCGTTGGCGCCTGTGATACTCTAGCAACGTCTTTCTGAGTTTTTTGGTCGCGCAGCTTCTGCGTTAAAGTACCCTTGCCTTCCTTGCTCGCCCCACTGCTTCACTTTGCGCTTGATATGAACGTATGCACGGCATGGGCGCGAGGCAGGATGTCACATACCTAACATGCATACGCAGTCGAAAGCAACACACATCCACTCAACCCAAATGATGCCCCACACACGTCCTTTTATGCGCGTATTTAAAGATATTACATCTCTCCACACAAGGTATCCGCCGCTGCTGTTGCTACTAAAGGGATGCCCTTGCTCGAAACCTGCCTGCCGCTTTCGTAGACAAGGCACGCTTCAAGCATTCTATAAGCGGCGACCGCGGACGAGTAACAGAGCTAAGAGAACAGCGCGGGGGGGGGGGAGGGTAAAAGTGGCCGGTACATATGACGGTGGGGCGAAAAAAAGGAGACGTTTACAGGATCCAGAAGTCTCCTACAATGCATGATCGGTTTTCCCCGAAACTACCGTTGGATTCGCACAGTTTACGCAAGAGCATCCACCTACATTCTGAAGCAGTAAATCGTTGCATAGTAATAGCAAAACGAGCGGGTCTAGTCCAGTTGCCAGGACTGGAACTTCACTTTGAATTAACATCAGGGCGAAAGATGTCGACGGTGCTTTTGGCCTTGCTGCACTGCAAGTGAAACGAGGGAGTTTTTCATTTAGAAGGAATTGCATTGGAATACCAAGGGGATCTGCGAGCAGAGCCGAGCAAATAAATTGTTACACACAAACTTCAACCGCGAAGGAAAAAACACAGAAGATTACGATGGCAGGGCGGGAAATGCCCCAAAGAAATTTCGAAGCATCGTAGGTAGAAGCAGATACCGCAAGACGGCCTGTCGTTGTTTATAATGAGGCCTAGCGCACAGCCGGCGTTGGCAGGACTCGCGTCACCATTGGGGATTCCGTTGCACGGGGAAGCGGTTTTTAGCCATGACGAGAGGAAGATGTAACAGGGAAAGTAATATGAGAATTACTGCCGCTAGGAAGAATGAAAGAAATACAGGAATCAGACGTGCACGCGTAACTCAGTAGGTGCAAGAAAAAGACATGGCGAGGAATCTCTACAATAGGAAGATGGAGACGCGGTTGCATAGGGGGAGAGAGAGAGAGAGAGAGAGAGAGAGAGAGAGAGGTCGCCACTGGAAAAAAGCGAGAAGGATCAGGTAAAATAGACGTGCATCATGATACTTGTCCATTTAAATGTTATTGACAAGCGCGGTCATGCAACGATTGTGATGGACGGTGGACGGCTAAGATCTGTCTTGTTATGAATTGTGCCTGTCACCTACGAGACTCTACGAGAATGATTCGCGGGGCTGCTTGTTATGGAAATGAAGAGCATCATTTGACTTGTTTTAATCAATATCTGGATTGATATAAGCCTGCCATAATAAGTACTAAGTTAAAGAAGGCTTACTAACGAGTTGTGCTGTAGTTTCCCGTTTAAACGACACTGTAGAATATATTTATTTTTACTGGAATTGCTATGCGATATATCTTGTATTAGTTTATTAGGCCACCACCGTCTACATTGGATAGGGGTCGTTTGTTTGTGCCTAACTATAAAATAAAAACAAAAATGGGGCATAAAAATTCTTAGATAAAAGGTAAATCTGGCTGAAAAGTGATTTAGGAATCGTCCCTGTTGTGGCTGTAAAGCAAGCTCTCAGTAATAAGCCCTTATACCCTTATAATTTAAGGTCTAGCTTCTAATAGCGGAAATCCTGGTATGAACAAAATTCATATATGTGTACATCCTGGGTCCGGCTTATACAATGAATACAAGATACTAGAAATACCGTACGCCAATACTATCGACTTAATACGAACTCGTATTAAATCGATAGTAAATTTACCTTATGGGCATCTTGTTA